TCACCTATTCGGAGACGGTGGTGGTGAGCAGCTACTACACGGAGACGGCGCGCGTGCCCAGCTACGTGACCCGCACCGAGTACCGCTCGCAGGTGGTGCCCGAGGTGCGCTACATCACCCAGACCCAGGTGCAGAGCCAGTACGTCACCGAGACCCGCCAGGAGCCGCGCTACGTCACCCAGACGGTCACCTCGGCCTACCCCGAGTACAAGTACGTCACGCAGACCGAGACGCAGAACCAGTACGTCACCGTCACCCGCACCCAGAACCAGAACCAGTACGTCACCGTGTGCCCCAAGCCAGCCTACCCCAGCTACGGCAAGTAGACCCGTCATCTCTCCAGCGCAGCATTCAGCTCTGATTAACAAAGGAACTGTGCAACGCGTGCCCGAGCACATGTGACCTGCTCGGTCACCAGCTCACTTTAACAATCAGCTGTTCATTATCTGTGATGCATTTATTGTACTATGTTTCTGTGTGTCCATGCATATAATTGTGTAGTCTAGAACGAGTAACGGGGACGGCTGGCCCGCGCCCCCTCTGGTCAATATCATGCTGTATCATTGTGTGGGAATTCGCGCCCTTTGCCATAAGTGACATTTTGTGTTTTATCATGCGTGTTGGCGTTGTGTACCTATGCCTGCGGACGATTATGTCATGTGATGAGTATTTATTGTCGATTTTGTCCAAGAAACCTTGTCTGCAATACAAATCAAGTATTGGACTAATTTTGTTAATCCAATCTACTTAGAGTGGCGGTCCGCGTGTGGCCAGAGACAGAGTGGCAACGGTCCGAGTGTGGCCAGAGACAGAGTCGCGGCGGTCCGAGTGTGGCTAGAGTGGCGCTCCGAATGTGGCTTATAGAGAGATGGCTTCTGTGCCTCACCCATCCCTCTAACTCGCCACTGCACGGGGTCGGTCAAGCAGCGGTATGACGGTGCTTATTTAGTTACATATTTTCGAAATATCATCCAAAATCAGGAAACAATTGGTTACCTTCAGGTCAGTTCAAAGGTTAAGGTCAGAGAGTCGCTAATGGCGAATATTCACTAGTTTGACATTCTTCGGCAATTTGGCTCATAAACCCTGGACTAGAAGCTCAAAGCCTGCAGAAATTTGTCCAGCTAGCAGGGACGTCACCGACGGGGGGGGGGGGGTCGCGGGGGTTGCAACCCCCCCCCCCACACACACACACACTCGTGAAAACCGGGGGGTCGACCCCCACTTTTGGCGATGATGAGTATCGTAGTTTTGTGTAACTTTCAATATGTACCACATTAAATCTTAATTTTAATAATAATAATATAAATTTTAATGTGTATCTTAAACTTTCGGATGAATGCGAATATTTGCCAAAAATTAGCAATGGTGTTGCTGTGAATATCCATTGGTTCCAGCGTCACACAGTATTTGAAAACCATAACGATAGAATAAAAATCATACGTTTATCTTGCACGCTGGTGACGTTTGAAAAAAATGGATGCTGAGCCTGGTTAAAACATTCCCTGGTGCGGCTATTGAACTATTTCTTCTGAGAGTAAAACCGCTTGAAGTGGCTGGCCCCTCCTTGCTGCAGCGCCCAATCAATCGTTAGACACGCTCTCGTTCCGGTTCTATAGGGCGATCACGCTTGCACGAACACTGCAGACCAGTGGCCAGTCTGACTCAGATCACTATCGTAAAACAGCGCGGCGTAACACTAAAAGTCCAGCTACGCATGCATGTGAACAACGGTTAGATCCTAGTTGGGTTGTTTGAACAAGACGCTCTCCGTCATTTATTTTCAGCCAGAGTAAGCGGTCAGTAGCAGTGACCAGTAATTTCCATTAGGTGGTCGGGTACCGATGCAAAGTCCTTCTGAGTAGATAAGAAGTAACTCTGCCAAGAAAAACACTCCGAGCTTCTGCTCAGCGAAGGCCGGCTAATCAAAGAGCACTCAGCTGCCGGACGTCGCCAGTCGACCGGGTATTTATGGCCCGACCACTGCGGCGATGACGGGTGTGAGCGGCGGCCGGTGCCGTGGCGAATTAGCCACGGTCCGCGCCTCCCCTGATGGAGGGAGATCGCCCCCCCCCCCCTGATGGAGATCGCCCCGCCCGCCGGCCGTGCAGTATACCTGCCACCGGAGCCGACACCGGCAGGCGCCGCTGCGGCGAACTGAGCTTCCGTGAGCAATGGACCACCCAGGGCGGTCCGGTGCAGCCCCGGTCTGCTCTGTCTCCCCTACACCTCACAGCCCGACACCCGGGCCGTCGGCTTGTTTGAGACGGATCAGACACATCACATGGTGGTAAAATACGTCAGCTTCAAATTATTGAATGGTGTGAAACGTTTTTTTGAGCATGATTATGATTATAATGGAAATCAGATGGAATAGTAACCATTTGCTCATAACTAATGTAAGCCAAAAACAAATCCAAAATATATTTTCGGTGCTGGACCTTCTTCAGTGGAATGACAAAAACACGAAAGAGTGACACATTTTAAATCATGATAAGTAAGTACGCACTCGCAACGCTAATAAAGCTACTTCCGAGAAAACGCATCACATTCATATGAAACATCCAGATTTTTGAAGGCATCAAACATAAGACATTAGATACTGGAAAACATTGGACAGCATAATATCAAATCGCTATGATATATGGTACATATGTATCACGTATATATTTTGGATTTGTTTTTGGCTTACATTAGTTATGAGCAAAAGGTTACTATTCCATCTGATTTCCATTAGCTTCAAATTACTTACACTTTTCCATTATCCATGCAAATCACCATGAGTGATGCTACTTTGAATAGTCATTGATTTATCACTTGGAGTGAAGCTGTTTGAAGAAAGAAAAGAAATGTCAGGTGCACACCTTATGACCTTTACATAGATCCTTTCTTTGAGATTGTATGTAAATCAGGGCATATTTTAACATACTGACTGCGTCCCATTTGGGGACGCAGCCCCCTGCCTTTGGGACGTAGCACTCGCGAAATTTGGACCACTGCGTCCCACACTGAAATGTCACGGTTTCAGCGGAAAAGTGCAAGCAATAATAATTAGCATGCCTCGGTCTTTTACTATGCAACAGACTCCATAAGAGCCCCACACCGGCTTTTTAGTGTCCCTTGTCGGCCTTTGAGTGCCCTTTGCCGGCTTCTCAGGGCCTATTGGCGACCTCTGAGGGCTACTTGCCGGCCTCTGAGGGCCCTTACCGGCCTACAGGGACCAGCAGCTCTAAGGGTTCCACACAAGCCTGCGATGACCCCCTAAACCAGTGGTTGAAGGCCCCCACAACGGCGCCTGCGAGGGCCCTCACCGGCGGCTGTGAATGCCCCACACCGGTGCCTAGCTGAGGGCCCAACACTGCCACCTCTGAGTGCAACCGGCACCCCTGAATGAGGTCCCGAAACCAGTGCTTCTTAAGACCATATATCGGCGGCTCTGGGGGCTCAACGCCGGAGCCGCATCGGACGGCCACTCACCGGTGACTTTTGAGGGCCCCACACCGACGACTCTGAGGGCCCCACTGGCGTCTGAGTGTACCTTGCTGGTCTCTAAGGACTCCACAGGGCTCCCGAAGGCACCGCAGACCTCTTGAGAGCCCCTTGTCGGTCTCTGAGAGCCCCTGTCGGCCTGTAAAGGGTTCGAGCCAGCAGCTCTAAGGGTCCCACACCGGACTGTGACAACCCCACACTGCAGTGTCTCTGAGGGCCCACAACGGCAACTGTGGTCCAGGACCCTCACCGGCGCCTCTGAGGGCCCACAGCGGCACCTCTGGGGGCCCGCACCAATGCCTCTGAGAGCATCAGACCGGTACCTGTGAGGGCCCACACCAGTGCCTCCAAAGGCTTCATAACCGGCGGCCCTGAGGGCCCTACGCGGGTGATTTTGAGGGGCGTACCGAAGGCACCACACAATCCCTTAGTCTCGCTGAGCTTCTATCCCAATCCCATACCGGCTTCTATCCCAATTCCGGCTCAACTAATTATCAGCCCCCCTCCCCCCTCCATGGGTCAGCAGCGCCGCGCCGGTGTCGGGGGCCAGCGCCATCGGGGCGGCAGTCGGCCACGCGCACTCAGTGGTTACTGGTTAGCGCTTAGCACCGGCGGCTAGCGCACGCCCGGTGTGTTATCGGCCGTGAGCCGCTCCAAAACGGCTGCAGTAACTGGTCGATATAGGTAGTAAGCAGATACAGAGATGCAGGTGGATAAGGTATGTGCCCTTTCCGATCGAAGCATGTGCCCTATGCCACCTTTGGGACGCAGTAAAAAATCCTTAAAATATGCCCTGATGTAAATGGATATATGAAGACACAGGCTCATTCAGTGGCATTCGAATCTTCGTATTATATAGCGAGACATCAAACGGTTTGAGTCGCCTTGCACGTTGCCTTCAAGCAGCGCCAAAAACTCATTCATAGATCAGCGTACCCATTAAGTTGTAGCCCACTACCCCATATGGAGAGATTGCATTTCACCAGTGCTTTTTATGAGCGACTCGGGTAATTTGTTTGATTTCTCGGCGGCTAGATTTCTGTTCTTATCTGCTACAGCCGTTGTCATCTTGCTCACAGGTATGTTAGGTAAGAATTTATCACGCGTGCTCAACCGTTTATATTGCTAGTCTGTAACAGCTTTGTTGCTTTATGAAGTGGCAGCCAAACAAACGATCCACTCCATACGATCTGGCGTACACAGTCTGAGTTGCGCAGTCTGCATATAAAGTAATATTGTGTATGCAGTCATTGTTACGGGTTGCATCCGTGTTTGCTGCTTGCATGATCTGGACATGCGGCATACAGATGTCAAATGTGGGGTTTAGGTGTCATTTACGGACGGATGAAATAGTCAATGTTTTCCGAACTTGGCCTGCTCCTTGAATTAACAATCAATAAGGTCTTTCGGAAATCGTCATTCTACATCCCATGTTTGGTCAGCACTTCTGTTATAAAAAGAAACACCTGGTCAAAACCGCGGGCTCCAAATCAAAACTGGTAAACACTCACCAATGATGCATCCTTCCTTGTGCGACAGGGACCAGCCCTGGCAGCAGCGGTACACGACTCGGACTCTCGGCAAGAACTGCTTTCGGTAGCGGAAAACATGTTGACCCCTGAGGGATGGTGGGGAACCATACCGGTCATACAGGTCATATAAGATCACATAGGTCATATAGGTCACATAGGTCACACAGGTCATACAGGTAATACAGGTCGTGTAAAAGCAGGTCACGTTTTGTCCATGCCTACGTATTCGTTCTAATTACCCTTTCATGATTCCGCAGAGTTTCTGTACTTTCCATGGCTTTCACACCAAGTGATCGCTACATTCCTAGACAAAATCCGTCCTCACTAGTCGGCTAAATCAGCCAGTGACTGCTAACCACGTCTGAGGTCAACTGCAAACAACGGCCCGTCATCATCCGATCCTGACCAGACACGGTACAAATCGTCCCAGTGGCCGGCTGTCGGGCGATCTGGAGTTATGTGCGCCGTCACGACCGCCGCGCCGGCCGCCAGCCTCAGAGGCTCGGCAGTCCGACCCAAGTCGCTGAGACGTACCTATTTAATGAATGCAAAAATATACGGCGATAATATTAGGGAGAGAGCAATTAATATTTCAGTAAGTGATGGTAATGCTTAGTCATGTTGATTTTGATAAGCAAATTAGAATGATCAGTTACTTATACAGGAGCGGCCTTCTTGGACCACAAAGGGTAGTCATGCTAGTCAAAGCTTGGTCATACTCGTGCAGAGCACCTCCCATGTCTCGTTTGCGATTTAGATAAATGCTTCTTTACTATGTCTTACAGACGACCCTGGCATTGGTGTTGATTGTGACTAAGGATTTTTTTATTCATTATTGCTCTTGAATATTTTTGTGACTGGATTTCTTGACTTTTGTTTTGAGAACAAAATTATGTAAAATAAACAGTATCCAATTTCCATTCAGAGCATTTTAACTACGTAAACTGACCAAAAATGACTTGCCGCTGTATTCAAGCCCACAAAACTTCTGGAGTATTTGCATGACGTACCTACTCTCGCATGCACATTTATAACCCCAACCGAGGCTCGGCAGCTCAATAGTCTTACGGGGAAGTCATAACAATGCCTTGGCCCTATCCCTAACATGTTGAAATAGAATCTGGCCAGTTGCCAGGAAATCTAAGAAATAATATATCCAGGACAAATCAAAGCACACTGCAAATATGTATGTGTATCATGCACATCTTACCTGTGTTTGAAATGGTAGACTTTGGGTTTTCCGTTGCCCTCATAGTCGACTGCTCGGTACTCGCACACGTTCGGCCTGGAACAAACAGGTGGGGGGGGGGGGGGGTGAGAGAGTGCTACTGCTGACATTTGTTATGTGCTCACGGTGAAGTCAGCAGATGTCTAGCAGTAGCATGTCACTAACAGACCTACGTTTCATTATTAGGTGATCAGCCATTTTACATACATATTACGCATATCTGCCGGGTTACACTTCGCTGATTCGATGATAAGGCAGTTTATGAAGGGAGGCTATGCGTGAGCACTGAGTAAATTATGGAATTAACTTAATCTTTATGTTTATCTGTGCTATTTCGCTTTATTCTGCTAGCAGTGCCAGCTATGGGCAGCTATGGGCAGCTAGCTATGGGCAATACGGTAATACGTGTATACCAGCACTGCGGAACAGCATAGATGCAGGCGTCTACTAGCAGTCAGACATGTGCGTGGATCCGAAAAAATGGATCTGGGATCTGGTCCCACGGATCCTGATCTCGGATATGTCAGGATCATAGATCCAGTTCTTAAACTTATCGACAGATCCGTAGGGATCATAGATGATAGATCCGAGTCTAATATTTTTGCTTGAGATCCAATGAAATCATAGATCCTCATTTATTTATTGTCAACACAGAAATCCCAAAAGATCGCTCGTTGCAACTCACAAGCGTTCTTATTTAGTGATTTATGTGATAGCACATCATAAGCCATAGTTTTATGGCACTTATTGACATAGAAACACTTGCAAACTTGGTTTAAAATGTTGTGCATGGTGGGATCCACTCAGATCATAGATCCATCTTCTTGGTTTATCATCAGATCCCGAGAGATCATAGATCCAGGATAAATTTTTCACGCCGGATCCGGTGGGATCATGGATCCGAACCTGCAGATTGCTTCGAGATCCACTGAGATCATAGATCCATCACTCGGATCCATGCACATGTCTGAGTACTACTAGCAGTGCCATCTGTTGACGAAAAGGTAACAAACCAAGCACTGCGGGACAGCATACATGCAGGCGCCCAGTAGCAGTGCCATCTAGGGGCAGGAAGGTAACATATGAAGCACGGCGGAACAACATAGATGCAGGCGCCCAATAGCAACGCCATCTAGGGGTAGAAAGGTGACATACGAAGCACTGCGGAACAGCATAGATGCAGGCGGGCACTAGTCTGCTATAGGCAAAGGTAACACATTGCGAGTACGCCAGTGCGGAACAGCATGAGCAGTATAAACTAAAGCACTAGTGTATCCGTCCGGAAGTGGAGATGTGATAAAATTGATGAAGGTGACGGCTGGTTAGCAGGAACCTAAATCGGCATTACATAGACCTCCATGGGATGTGGACTGTTAACAATAAACCTCCCATGCGATACGAGAAGATGATGAATACATTATCTTCTCGTATATGTAGACATTTTTAATATAATAGATATTAGTAACTCAACACTTATCAAAGAATATCTTTGCACAATTGTGTGAATATGTATAAACATTTAACAATACACGAAGCTATGATGCCTTCCGTGAAACGGCCTGAATGGGAGCTCCTGTATTTGGTGCATGAGGCGAGGCAGCTAAGCTCGGTCCACCGATGCTTGTCAGTTGTCGAATGCCGTACCTGTTGGCATGCTTCGTCGAATTTATCCAACTCGTTCGATTGTTATTTGGAAAATAATAGTAAATTTCAAAGAAACTGTCTGTTTTGAGAAACAATTTTGATGGATCTAGTAAGATCCACTCTGGTCCCCGGTGCTTTGCCATCGGCAGCAAGCACCTCTCCGGGACGAAAGCGACATCTGTGCAGAGGCCAGGGACCGGTACATCAGTTCCGTGGTAGGGGGCGCTGGGCTGTTTCGGTGCATGATGTTTTCTCATAACCAGATGGAAGTACACCAAACTTAGGCCTGGGGCTGGGTGCCAGGTGCAGCCAACTATGACTATCTAAAAATCGTTTTTTCCTTATATGAAACAGCGGCATTTCATCGTTCGCCTGCTTTGACAGAGTAGGTAATGATACCTCCCTCCAAATGAACCAACGCCACTCAGTGCAGTCAGAATTTCTAAGTCGGCATGTATTTACTTTTTATTGAATCACGAAAAGCACGTCCTATAGCATCAAGCATGATATAACATTGGAACGCTCAATGTATGTGCGTCGACTGATATAGCCGACCCTACTTGTGTACCTACTGCAAAAAGCCGACGTTGCAAGACTGTTTCTGTCCTCCGGAGCTGGCCTTCCACTGTAGGTCCCTCGCTCCAGTCGGATTATTTATCACAGGGACTCAGTTCTCTGCTATTAACCGCAGGTTGTTTGAAAAGACAAACACTATTCGTTAGAATTGTGTTTTTCTATTGAAAAACAACCGGAGCGGTCGTTCTCCGGGCTATGTTTTGCAAGTCTGGCAGCGAATTGGGGCAACTTGGTAGGGGCCTAAACGAATCGCTCAATCTTCGTAAAAATTCCAGGGTATGGGCTCCCGCAGGCGATCTACCTGATGGCACCGGTCGGTACTCGCTAAGAAGTCTTTTGCGCGTGGCACGTGCGATTCCATTTTTCCCATGTTAAGTCAACGGGGGTTTGGACACTTTTTGCGCGATCGCGAATGGCGGGAAAACGAGCCAAGGAAGAGGTGGTTTTCTTCCCAGCATTTTATGGCAAACACGTTTGGGTACACGCCAGTGTGCGCTGTATACCTCTCAGAATCTCGGAACGTGTCTTTGCACGAGGTCAAAGTTGGAATTTTGCTGTGTCCCATGTTAAGTCAATGGACGGCGATGTCGAGACTTTGCAGAGACATTTTCATTCGATCTTTGTACAAAATTTTAGAGATAGATTTCGTCCAAACTCTTATATCTTGTAGAGGTATTTGTCAGTGACGTGTTCCTTGGCTACTAAGTTTGACACCTGACAAGGAAGGAACGGACGTCGTTTTTAACCGCAGGTTGTTTGAAAAGACAAACACTATTCGTTAGAATTGTGTTTTTCTATTGAAAAACAACCGGAGCGGTCGTTCTCCGGGCTATGTTTTGCAAGTCTGGCAGCGAATTGGGGCAACTTGGTAGGGGCCTAGACGAAATGTACAATCTTCGTAAAAAGTTCAGTGTATGGGCTCCCGGAGGCGATCTACCTTATGGCACCGGTCGCTACTCGCTTAAAACCTCGTGGCACGTGGCACGTGCGATTCCATTTTCCCCATGTTAGGTCAACGGGGTTTTGGACACTTTTTGCGCCATCGGGAATGGCGGAAAAACGAGCCAAGAAAGGGGTGGTTTTCATCCCAGCATTTTATGGCAAACACGTTTGGGTACACGCTAGTGTGCGCTGTATACCCCTCAGAATCTCGGAACGTGTCTTTGCACGAGGTCAAAGTTGGAATTTTGCTGTGTCCCATGTTAAGTCAATGGACTTGATTGGGGCCTAGACGAAATGTACAATCTTCGTAAAAAGTTCAGGGTATGGGCTCCCGGAGGCGATCTACCTTATGGCACCGGTCGCTACTCGCTTAAAACCTCGTGGCACGTGGCACGTGCGATTCCATTTTCCCCATGTTAAGTGAACGGGGTTTTGGACACTTTTTGCGCGATCGCCAATGGCGGGAAAGCGAGCCAAGAAGGAGGTGGTTTTCTTCCCAGCATTTTATGGCAAACACGTTTGGGTACACGCCAGTGTGCGCTGTATACCCCTCAGAATCTCGGAACGTGTCTTTGCACGAGATCAAAGTTGGAATTTTGCTGTGTCCCATGTTAAGTCAATGGACGGCGATGTCGAGACTTTGCAGAGACATTTTCATTCGATCTTTGTACAAAATTTTAGAGATAGATTTCGCCCAAACTCTTATATCTTGTAGAGAAAGGAGCATAGTACATGCTGGTATGCTTCGTTAAGCTGGCAGAAATCGTTTTTTCTAATAAAGTTCGTTTGAAAATTAAAATTTTTAACATGGAAAGTCAATGGGAGCGTCTTTGTTGCTTAATAACTTTTTACGTTGCAGATATACCAAAGTGAAAAGTTAATAAAATATACAACTTTCGATGCTCTTTCCAACAATTAATAGAACGTCACTGCACGATGTGCCGTTTTTAAGAAAAGCTGTAAAAAATCAGGGCTCGACTGTGACTTGAACCCAACCACATTAGAGGATACGAACAGGTGACGGGGATACCTCCCGTGTGCGGATGTGACACTGATTATTGCTAAATATTAGCAGTCGGCCGTTGCGGGGGCGCCTTTGCAATGCTTATATCTCTGCAACCACTGGACCGATTCACTCGCGGTCTTTTGTGTGGGATAGCTTCTTCCTTTCTTACACGTAGTGTGGTGTTCTCGATGCGTATGGGTGACCCCTAATGCACGTGCCACTGCCACGTGCAAAACGAAGAGGTGTCAGTTCGGTAACAAGTCTAATAACTCTGTAGTTAGTTTGCCGATTGCGCTGGTACTTGGCATGGATGTAGGCACCCGTCCCGCAATGCATTTCCATGTGTCACGGTTGGGGTGCCGCTGCACGTGCGCACGGGCAGGGTGACGCTTCCAGATCTCGAGAACGGCTGGGCCGATTGTGATCAAAGTTGGCACACCGTTAGGGCTCGGCGAGTAGGGTGCCGTGCACAAGTCAGATGGGACCCAGTTTGCACGTGCGCACGTGCAGGACGACGCTTCCAGATCTCGAGAACGGCCGGGCCGACTGTGCTCAAATTTGACATACCACTAGAGACTGGTTAGTAGGGTGCCGTGCACAAGTCAGTAAGTATGTATTTTCATGTGCCGCGGTTGGGGTGCAGCTGCACGTGCGCACGTGTAGGGGTCGTTTCCCGATCTTGGAAACGGCTGGGCCGATTCAGATTAAATTTGGTACATCGCTAGAAACCGGCGAATAGAGTGCCGTGCACAAGTCAATTGGGGCCCAGGTTTAACCGCAGGTTGTTTGAAAAGACAAACACTATTCGTTAGAATTGTGTTTTTCTATTGAAAAACAACCGGAGCAGTCGTTCACCGGGCTATGTTTTCCATACTTGGCAGCGAATCAG